GACAGAGATCTGCCAGCGGGCGTGTAAGCTGGCCATCAGAGAGAGCATAGAGAATGAGATCCGCAGAGAGAGGGAGAGGCAGACCAACCCCTCAGCTATGGTCAGTACTGTTGTGTCCCCTTGTTTGCTAGAAATCTGGACAAGCATCTGCATGCTACTGCATCAGATCTTTGTTTGATGTGCTATATCTTTTTTTTTTTTTTTTTTTTTTTTTAAAAGGGGGGGGGAGGGGGTGATACTGATCAGGAAGGACCACTTTGAAGAAGCAATGCGATTTGCCCGTCGCTCTGTCAGTGACAATGACATTCGCAAATATGAGATGTTTGCTCAGACACTGCAGCAGAGCCGTGGCTTTGGCAGCTTCAGGTATTGTCTGAAAATTTGTCCTATTATTAGTATTGGAAGCTGTGTGTTTCAGCTTTGCAGAATGACCCCATGAAATTGGGATGTCACTCTTTCTGTAGAAGTTGCAACTTTTTGCTGATGTTCTGACTTGATAAGTGCCCATTCTGGAGCAAATTTCAGTAAGAGCTGTTTGATCAGTATCGGAGAAGAATTTTTCACAATGACTATGAAAAACTGTTACTACTCCAGACACTCAAGGCCTAAAACTGCCAGAGATACTGTATGAGGAATTGCCATTTCACAGGATAAAGCCCTCTGTTTAAAAATGGGTGACTAACTTTGTTCTTTGTCTTTCAGGTTTCCCTCCAGTGCTGCAGGTGGCAGTGGTACAAGCCATGGCTCAGGAGGAACTGGCAGTGGTCCAGTGTTCAATGAAGATAATGACGATGACCTTTATGGATAAATGTGCACTGCCCCATAGTGGTTAGTGCTGGGATCACACCTGTACAAATTCTCACCAGATTCCACATTTTTAGGACTTTGTGCTTCTTTCATGTGTTCATTTTCTTTTTTTTTTTTTGTATGAGTTTCTTCAGAGAAAGCATGTAGCCACTTGGTTTGCCCTGGCTTTGTGGGTGGGGGTTAGGGGATGTTGGAATGGAAGGTCAGTGACAGATGCAGAGATTTTTTTGTGGGGTGGGAGATTCAGTGGCCTCATTCTCAGTATGTATATCACAACCACCATGAATGGCTTTAGTGACGGGAATCTATCCTAGACCATAAGAGAAAAGAGAACCGCATATTGCAAATGACTTTTTTTTTTTAAATAAACAGTAGCATATAAGGTATTTCAAATTTGTCAAGGTTATGTTGTTGAAAATAAAATCTCACAAAACTGAAGTGGTATCAATGTCTTAAAATTGGAGTTCTTTGGCTGTAATCACAATCGGGCATTGTGATTGTATGGTACATAAAGCCAAGGGGACGGTCTGTGTTTTTCATAAGTGCAGCAGTTGCATAATGGTGCCGTCCCTGGTAGGCCAGTGGTTAAGGCGCAGCGCTCTCGCCGCTGTGGCCCGGGTTTGAGTCAGGGTTGCGTCAGGAAGGGCATTCGGCGTAAAACACGTGCCAAATGTCAACATGCGAGTCGTCAGTGTGACGATTTGCTGTGGCGACCCCTAAATGGGAAAAGCGAAAGTGACTTTCTTACAGCAGTTGTATATTGGTAATCTACATGACACTGAAATGGGCTGATTGATAGAGCAGTGCTACTGCTGTCATTCAGTGACCATTTGCTCATCAGTCTTCACTCTGTGATGCATGTAGGCACCATAGAACTGTTATCATTGGGCAGAAAGTCAGTTCCGCTTCTGACCACATGGTGACACTCCAGCAGTGAGAAGAAAACTAGTCCATTGGGAAAGATACCTTTTTATTTTTTTTTTCACCAGTCTCTGTAAAGAAGTCACTGTAAAAACATGTTTGAAGCTGTTTTCTTAAGTTAATCACTTATGTGTAGGCCATTCATTCCACATGGAAAAGAAAAAAAAAAAAGTTATCAACCCAGGTTTGAAATTTATTTTCTCCGTTGTATGACAAGATGTGAAAGGCATCAGACTTTTGTTTAGAGATTACTAGATGTTTGGGAAGGTTTCTTGTCTTACCTGAATAAGACCTGCACAGGTCGTTTCTGGTATCCCTGGAGAATGTGACATGTTCATTTATTGAACTCTATGCAGATGGATCCAGTCCACTTGTTATGAATGTGTCCTAATTGATAATTACACTTATACTGGATTATGTACTGCAGCAGGAGTTGTGAGTGTGTAAGCTACATATGTAAAATCCTCTCAGAAAACAATAGCTGTCATACATATGGACAACCTGACATGGTGACTTGTCCCCCCCCCAGTGAGACGACAAGTGTGTTTAAGTGGAAATATACACCGTGAGCCCAGCTTTATAGTTGATACAGCTATATGGCAGTAGTCACAGTGTGATGTTACTGCAGCACATCTCAGAGCCTTGGTTCATTAATTGCTATATCTTTGCCATGTAATGCACATACTCGGATACTTTATTCACCAATCACTGCAGTTGTTTCATGTGGTGTGTGTTAACACAGATCATCTGGCCTGACTATCTGCTAACACAGTGTAATTAACTAAAATGCCTAACTCGGTAAGAAAACGCTCCATAGCTTGGACGACCTGTAATTCTGTAATTTCTTACTTCTAAACTCTCTTACAAAAAGGAAGTTATTGTACTTGGCTCTGAAAGCTTAATGAATATGCTATCTAACGTAGGTTGCTCTGATCACAACCTTGTTCACCTACTTCCAGTGTATATACTCCAGTGGTGAAAAAAAGTGTCACCTCAGCTCAGGGTAGTAAAGGTATGGACAGAGGAAGCAACTGAGCACCTGAGGGACTGTTTTCACACCACAGATTGGAACATCCTCTGCAGTCCTCATGGAGAGGACATAGACAGCCTCACACACTGTGTTTCGGATTACATAAACTTCTGTGTGGAAAATACTGTAACATCCAGGAGAGTATGGTGTTTTCCTAATAACAAGCCATGGGTGAGCCCCGGGTTAAAGGCACTGCTGAATGAGAAGAAGAGGGTTTTCTTCTCAGGGGACAAGGAGGAGCTGAGCGGAGTGCAGCGAGAAATACAGTATATCAGGAGTGGGTGGATCGATCCTAATATCAATACTATCGATTCCAATGCTAGTATTGATATTGCTCAGGTGTGGAGAGACCTGAAACACATCTCGGGTCATGGTAAAAGTGGAGATGGTCACCAGGTCGTGGGGGGACAAGGCTTGGGCAAATAAACTGAATCTGTTTTTTAATAGATTTGACTCTACCCAGTCCTCAGCCCCCACCCTGCCAGCCCACCCGACTTACTTCTCCAGGTCAGTTGTCTCCCTGCAGCTGCAGCTGCTCATACCTCAGCTAGACCTTGCCCCTCCTCCCACTGTCACGGGGGGAGGAAAATGCTTTTACCAGAAGAATGCTGGTAAAACTAACATCCATCATGCACGACCCCTCCCATCCCCTGCACCACACCGTAGAGGCTCTGAACAGTTCCTTTAGCGCAAGACTATACAATACATCACTGCAGTGATAAGCTAGGTGAAAGTATGAGGGACTATGTAATAGTCAGCTGAGGTGCAATACTCAAATCCTGGGGTAAAATGCATGGTTAATATGCACATATGTAAATTCTGTTCTTGATTATTCAAATACTTGATTCTGTCTGTTTTTGAGTACTTGGAATTTATTTATCAGGATGAGTGCGGTGCTTGTTCTCATGGTGTTATGTTGTCTGTTCTCTATTGCTGCTGAAACACTGACATTTCCCCATTGAGGGATCAATAAAGTACCTACCTACCTACCTACCTAATCATATAGTTACTCTAGATGACATACTGTAGCTCTGGCCTCCAGTACTGCTGTGTAGAGCCTTGGAGTCATTTTTGGCCAGAATATGTCCTTTAAATCACAAATAAGCCAAGTCTCTAGAACTGCCTTCTTTCACTTGTAAAATATCACCAAAATCAAAAACGTGATACTGATAAACTGGTCCATGCATTTGTTATCTAGGCTGGACTACTGTAACTCTTTATTATCAGGATGTCCCAATAGTTCCATAAAAAGCCTCCAGTTAATCCAAAATGCTGCAGCCAGAGTACTGACAGGAACTATTAGCTTCTCTCCACTGGCTCCCTCTAAAATCCAGAATAGAATTTAAAACCCTTCTCCTAACATACAAAGCCCTTAATGACAAGGCTCCATTGTATCTTAAAGACCTCGTAGAGCCTTATCATCCTAACAGAGCACTTCGCTCTCACAGTGCAGGTTTACTTGTGGTTCCTAGAGTCCACAGAAGCAGAATGGGAGGCAGAGCCTTTAGCTATCAAGCTCCTCTCCTATGGAACCAACTCCCAGTCTCAGTTCGGGAGGCGGACACCCTCTCTACCTTTAAGATTAGACTTAAGACGTTCCTTTTTGATAAAGCTTATAGCTGGTTCAGGTGACCCTCAGCCTTCCCTTGTTATGCTGCTATAGGCCTAGGCTGCTGGGTGGACCTCCATGATGCTCTGAGTTTCTCTCCTCTCCTCTCACTCCATACATCTATATGCCACCACTACGTGTCACTGTGTCCTCTCTCTCTGTCCCTGTCCCTTTCTACAGGTAGCTCTGGTTATGGAGCCCTATGTTTCTGGTGAGCAGTCACTAGCCACATCAACGTGCCCAGTGTTTGCCTTGTTTTTCTTTCCTTCCACTCCCCCCAGACAGTTGAGGCAGAAGACCACCCCCCAAGAACTGGGGTCTGTTGGAGGTTTCTTGCATTAAAGGGGGTTTTCCCTCCCTGCTGTCACCAAAGCACTTGCTCCAGTGGGATTTGTTGGGTTTATCCTCTATAATGTTATACTTTCTTGTGATTTTGTAGACTTTGTAAAGTGCCCTGAGATGACTTTTCTTGTGATTTGGGTGCTTTACAAATAAAACTGAATTGAACTGAAGTAAATTTCAGAGATGTTTTGGACTTCTCTCTAATGAAACAGGCTATGACACCAAAGTCATGTTCAAGGTGACCAGAAATATTTAAAGGAGGAATTCAAATGACAAGCTGTTAATGTCACACATTTGGTTTATTTCTTTGCAATCTGAAAAGATCATAAATAATGTAAAATGCACATAAGCAGTAACAGTGAGCCTTTCAGCAGCAGCATGTGCAATTCTGGTTGTAGCCACAGTCCAGCATCCTCTGAGGCTCTGAGAGGCAGGATGATCACAAGTCATTTAAGTCTGTCCCATCATCTCTGCTTTGTCAGCATCTTTTATGTAATAAAAAGTGCATTGATCAACATGTCGCAAACATTTTCCCATACACATGACATATATGACTTGCTATGGCTGTCTGTAAAAATCATACTCAGATACATTTTACCTTTGCTGTAAAGTACAGAAGGAAAAGCTGAAGAGAGCTCCAAGGCCCCTGCAGCTGAGACGGAACAGCTGCAGCAATATTACAAAACATGTCTCCTAAATAGGTTTTCTACTTGGAAAAACAGAGAGTTAAGTCTACAGATGTTACAAAGGACAGAAGCAATTATCAAATCACACTGGGGATTTTATGAAACCAAAAGGTAGACACCAAGGTGGTCTGTTTTTTGGCACTGCTCACAGTAGCACCAAGACATGGCCTTCAACTGGCACAAGAGAAAGCAGAATATACACAACAAAGCTGGGTTTCCCAGAGAAATCTCAGCCTTTTAGTTCAGATCAACTCCATGCTCACATTCTCTGGGAAATTCCGACTTTTAATTGTTTGGCACTTTACAGGGATGCATTGGCAAAATTCATCAGTCTGTATCAAATTTCTCCCTAAAACATGCCCTCGCTTCTACATAGTACCATACAGTGGCTGACTTTACATTGCTTGCTTCATGTTTTTTTTAGGATCACCAGCTCCCAGTGGTAACATCTAGCACAGCGCAGGGCATTGTATTTTGTGCACTCAACATGGCTGGTTATACACTGTATGTTACAGTGTGACCTGTGCGTGTGTGTTCACATATGTGGTATGACACCGGGCTAAGGCACCTAAATGTTCCTCAGATACCGAGATATTCAGTTCAGAGCAGCCACACAGCTCAGAAGGGAAAGCACCCATATTATGTGCAGATTGTATTATCCAAGCTTACACTGTTGTAAGAGCACGTGATTGTCATTCCCAGATTTTCCAATGCAGCTGAGATATGCTAGTACTATTTGAAGTAATGCAGGACTAAGTGCACCGCAGCACAGAATACAACCGATTTTTAGGGGAGACAGATCATACTAAACAGTAAACAGCCTATGGAGTTGAAGCTTTACTAGACTGAAAGGACGAGAGTGGGAGACTTACTGCACGCTATATCTGGGGTTTGAACTGAACACACTGAAGCTGCTGGTACACTCAAGGTAAAAATACTAAATATTCCTATTTGAAACCTGCTTTGGAAAAGAAAATCCTGGAAAAAATGTTTGTTTTAAAAAAATAACCCACACTTCATCCTGTCACAAAAAGATGAGGATCAGAGTTGGACAGAATAAAAAACACAGATAAATCCGTAAAAAACAGAGTTAAGAAAAGAAGTTCTGGTAAAAGCCACAATTGTGCTGAGCCTGTCCTCGGCACCACTCCGCTGCTCAGGTGCTTGTGTGTGTATGCTTGGGCCAAAAGACAAAACAAATAATTACATCCTGATGCTGCCATTTGTGTTGGCAGTCTTCCTTCATCTTTCCATCATCCTTCCACTGTGAAGTCCCTACAAACCATGTGTATTAACACGGGGCATGGGAAGGTGAACTACAGTAAGGGTCAAAATATAAGTGAAGAGAGGATGAGGGTTAAGTGTACTAAGGGTGTTTTCCTGGGTTTGGTCTGGAGTGTGTGGTGGTGGAGGTTGGAGGTGAGTCTCCCTATGACTGGGGGAGGTGTTGTCTAATAATCTCCCTAGACTGAGGGGGGATCCTGTCAGGAAAACGGACTGAAAACTCCACGATGAGGTCACCACGCTGTGACGGGTTCTTGGGGAAAGGCAGGCCTTCCCCTCTGAGTCGCTTCACCGTCCCTGGCTTGATGATGTCATGACAGGGAAGAGAGATGACACGGTTTTCCAGCATGGGAATGCTAACGGTGCAGCCACACAATGCCTGGAGAGGAAAGCAGGAAGAGATTGAGAGGGTTAATGTCTTTAGTAGGAGTGAAATGCCAAAGTCATTAATATCCTGATGACTTAATATTTCCATGAACAAAAAACTTTAGTTTATCTTGCCTCGGTATGTCATCCTAATAAGTCAAAGTTCCTTGTGTTTCACTGTGTGTGTGTGTGTGTGAGAAAGAACGCGACAGCAAACAGGCCTCAATGACAAATCGTTTAAGTATCAGCTACAATAGTGGGGGGTCGACGGAACAGGACTCGGCAGTGGAAAAGTTTTCTGGCCTCGGTGGGTGTGGGGGGTATGCAGCGCTGTAAGTGTCTTAATGTTGGAGAGGCTACGCATCGCACAGGGGACTAATTTTAGCACCGGTCTCATATCCAGGGCTAATGAAGTGAGGCAGGAATCGGCTGAGCTCGTAAATAGTTACAGAGCTTGTCAGATGGGCCGACAGGACAGGCAGAGAGAGAGCACACACATACACCCACACAGTCACACACATTAGGCCTCACCTCCTTATCTGAATGCCTGATGAATCCAGTCAGTGCACAGAGCTCTAAACTAAATACGGAGACCTGCAGCTATCACGACTTCACAGGCTTTCCAGTGACCATAATTCGCCAGATTAGTGCTAAACACCAAGAACTATTTAAATAGACAACTCTGTGAATGAAACTCATGATGAATAGCCTAATAAACTGTTCCTGTACAATGAACTACATGTGTAGGCAACTGTTAGAAAAGATCAGTGACTAAATACCATAAAGGTGTGGAAGATGAGGAGCCATTGTGGGTGACCTATAGTTCATAGTTAGGTTATATAGTAAATACATTGTTAAAAAGCTTAGTATAGCGTATTGACATTTTTACATGAGCTAATTAGTCATAAACACAGTTGCAGCTCAGGCTGAGGTTATTATAATTCATGCAGAGGGAAACTTGAATGTGTTTAACAAAATTTCTTGGCAACATTTCACTCAAAACAACAAATGTGAAACTTATGGAGCCATTAGAGGATCGCCAACACCACTGTATCATCCAGGAAGCATAATTTGTCTACCGTGTTTTGTGCCAATCCACAAATGTTGAGATATTTTCACCAATTAAGTGGAAACTTTCACCTGCTAGATGACAAGTCACCAAAGTTGTTAGCATTCATCGTCTTTGAAAAGCGGGTATCTATGCCAAATGTCATGATAATCATTGACTGACTGTTGTGATTTTACAGGAAAACAAAAAGTCCAGCAACACTTGCAGTGTTTTGAGCAACTTTAATAAGAAGACCAACACGTTTCAGCATGAAGCCTTCCTTGGGCCCTGACCTGTTGGTCTTCTGGTTCAAAACACTGCAAGTGTTGCTGGACTTTTTGCTTTGCACTTTGTTTTTTCCTTGACTGTGCACCTTGACAGTGGGTGAAGCTGAGCCAGAAGTTTCTGCTGTTGGGATTTTACGATCTGGACCACAGTGGTGAACCAACACCTGACACTGCCATCCCTAGCATCACACTGGTGGCATGGCTCAAAAACATTGCTACAACAGTAGAAAAAAATAATCTACAATTAACATACAGTGTTAAATGTTAAGTTTAACTGTAGTGATGTCCGTAAATGTGACCAAAGAAATTGGATAACGGCATGTACAAAAGGCAGAAGATGCCAAGAGTTGGCTGGTTAAAATGAGAATATTCTATTTAAAAACAGTCTTGCTGAGAACCTATGCTTAGCAACGTCTTTGATTGCATTCACTACACTATATACTACTCAAAACATTTCAGTTTTTTCCCCAAAACATACCAACTCTTCGCACTATTAATTTCAAGAAACAAACCCCAAATAAAGTAATAATGATCATGCCTGTACTGGCGCGTGATTAACCTGTAAGACCCAGCCCATGTCATTACATTTTCTTGTCTTGTCTGGTGGGTTTTTAACAAACAGGGATGGACATGTGCACAGCTGAAGTTCAGGCTAGAAGCACAGCTGCTTCAGATGAAAGAGAGTTCTTCAGCCATGGCATCAGCCTCCTGTTAACCACTGCACACTCTCCATTACAGGGTGATTTCGCCTGTGACTGTGATGGAGCAGCTCATCCTCTTGTTATGAACAGTTCCATTCACTAACAAAAGTCTTACACAGACAGGTTGCCATGACACTCGAGACACACCATCAGTTGATCTGATCCACTGACTGTGTAAGCCTCAGCTCAGACAACATAGCTCTAGAAACTGACACAAACATACACTTTGATTTTGCTATGTTTCTAAGTATGCTCTGTAAACTTGTATTAACTACCTGGACCCATACATTCAGCTGAGGTTTCTGTTTCTTTAGGGCTGTAATGATCAGCTAAAAGTATCCTCACAATCCAAAGTGTCCTCTTTAAGACTGTGGACTGTCAATTCAGTCTATACTCCTAACTCATGCTTGTTCTAAATACTGATGCCCTGCTAAAAATGCACATAATTCCAGATGTTCAACATCCTATATCATCACTGAAAACAGTATATTTGCCTGTTTAATGATAGCTGAGCTGCCCACTTAGCTCCTAGAGCCCAGCAGCTACAGTTAGCACCTGCATGTGTCTGGGTGTGGGATTTGCTGCTGAGCTGAGTACAGTGGTGACAGGAGCTAGAAATGTAGAGCCACAGGAAATATCAGGCAGCACACTGCAGAGACATTATTAATGCCAAAAAGAGCCAACCTATAGATAGAGGTATATAGGTTGGTTTCAGGGAAATCACTGTCACAGTGGAGACACTGCAGGGCTGCAAGTTGCCTCTAGCGGTGTCTCCCAGCAGATGACAGCACGGTCGGACGAGCTCAGCAGCACTAAATGAAGTTGCTCATCAGGGCATGTGTCAGGCAGGAAACAAAACTGAGTGTCCAAATAGCAGGGGAATCATACAGCTGTCAAAATATGACCAAATAACTATCTGCTCAAGAGCCATTTATCATCTGCCTTAGCGTTCCACTTCTGTTTTTATACTTTAGAATGAACACTTCTTTGGTAATGGAAACAATAATTTTGTTTGCCAGGTTACATTATCTATTGGTACACTGATTAACATGTGCCAAAATATATGTGGCAGGTTGTCAGGGGGTGCAGCATGTAGCTGGTGCCGTTTTCACTGCAGCATTCAACATCACATCTTCAGGGAAACAGAGCAGAGAGAGCGAGTAGAACATGAGCTCTTATTTGCTTTGGAAACTGAATCATCTGACCCACTTCCATAATATTCCCCAGATACCACCCATCTCCATCCGCATGCACTACCCCATCCCCTCTTTAGCTGCATCAGATTCAAGTCTTTTGTCTGGCTGCTATAAGAGCTGTGCTAGGTCTGCAGTGCATGCCTCATTATTGTGCAGGTTTGATCAAGTGCCACCTCCTGCTTAATGCGACTCAACAAACCCTAATGCATGCTCATTAATTAGGCTGTTCTTTTACCTAGGCAGTGTGCAGGCAGGCACCCTTGTTTTCCAGTGTTTCACTGTTACTTACTGTAAGTGGCTTATGACATTCTGTGCTGTGCATTAGAGGAAACTGGTCAAATAGGCTTGAGTAGAGTACAAACAACTCCCCCGACATCTCCAACTCTTTGAGAACACCAATCATGTGGAGTGCAGGTCAGTGGCAGTGCTATAAGAAACATTAATGTTTGTGTAATTCACAGGCAGAGCAGAGTGGTGCTGGACCCACTGCCCTTGTAGGAGCAGCTACAGTAATTAAATGTCATGTCAGTCACAGTAATAGCCTGGACTGTCACCACTCTCACACTACAATCCATCTTTAAATAAGCAAATACACTTGAAGATGGAAGAGTGTGTGCACTTCTGTGCATGCTTATAGCTATGTGTAGCTTTATATATTTATACAGCAGCACAGAACACGTGAGGATGATGGCTCTGTCCTGGTCACACAAGAACACCACGTTCCTGGTGCTTCTTTCACACCTCAGTGACAGAGATTTACTTTCACCGATCCTGACCTCCAGTAACACACTCACTCCTCAATATGTTTGATATTGTTCGGAACCATGACAAAAAGGAAGAACTGAAGACAGACAAGCAGATATCAAGACAGAAGAGAGAGAAGTTAGGTGAAAATGGGCAGACGCACCTCTTTTAGACTGATCTTGCAGTTAAAAATTATATTGGAACCATCTCTCTTGAAGTGGGTGTGCCCTTTG